TGGAATAGTGAGAGGATTGAGGGAGAGGGGAGGGGGGAGTAACGATAAGATGCTGTGATAATGGAAATTATATGGGGGTGGCCTGGAATGCGCGGGGGTGGCTTCTTCCCTATTGTCGAGAGGGGAGCGTTTCGTGAGTTCTTCGTCGAGTTTTGTGTGTATTTGGCTTTGAGTTTATTTTTGGACGTTTTAGGCCTCTTCTGGACCGTCTTTAGGATAATTCTGAATAAGGAGGGAGACTGACGTTACTCGATAAATTAGTTTGTGACAGATGAATAATAATTAGACTGTAGATGTTTGTGTTTATGAGGAATGTATACAAATGTAGAAATATATAAAATAGCAATAATAATTTAAATACGTGTTAAATCGTTTGGAAGATACACTTTTGTCGAGAAAGTATCAATGCATACAGTAAGCATTATCTGTGTGTGTCATTTGTTTTATGTCTTCTCTTGTTTGGTGCGCAGCTCTTGTGTGTAATTGCTGTATCACGTTGTGCTTAATTATAACTACAATAAACTTTTATGTAGTGTTTCACCTTAAAAGCTGCATTCCATTATCAGCCTGTTATTCTCACCTCTTCCTCACTTACTGGTTTCTAACAACTTTCGTACGAATTTGAATTTTTTGTGTATAGTAATGTGAATTTTTATAAGCATACACAAACTATATATGATGTACATCGAATACATCCTATCAGGTAATCTAATATAATAAAAAATATAACATTGGATTTCTTAATCTAACTTCTTCTCACCCAATATGACACACTACGATAATATTAATATTTCATTTTGCACAAATGCATATACATTTTGACCACATTTGGTATACTACATTATATACATTTCACATTTTCTTGTGTACCACAAATGCATAAACATCCACAGTCTACCAACTATAATCGTACAGTTTCTCAAGCCGAAAACGCCGAGAAATAAAATTGAAGCCCAGTCCAGACCGATCCCAACGCAATCCAAAAGCAACTCGCAAAAATGATTTTCATCTCCGCTCCGACACGTACCGCCCTTCCATTTCTTTTCAAGAAGACAGAGAAGCACGGTTCAAGAAATGCAATCGCTCGAATAGAGAAGGGAATTCTTGCCAGTGATAATCACGAGAGCGGGTATTCGCGAGTAAAATTAAAAAGTTGGTTACGGGAGCAAAAGAAACGTTGTAACGACTTCCGGCGCGGAGTTATTCCAACTTTTTCGTAACGAGCGCCTCTCGCCAGAGGGCTCGCGAATTGTGTAAAAAAAACTTACGCTGTCGCGTAAATTTTGTGAAAAGTATATCCCCCCTTATTTACGTAACGACGAGAACAGACTCCCCCTCTGTTGTTATCGAACCGTGTGAAAGAAACGCGCGCGCAATTTACAGTGGTAAAAATTACGTTTGTATATTCTTACATAGAAAGAATTTAAATATCTTCTGGTTGAATAAAATCCATAATATTTATTATCCTTATTCAGCCTTGAGAGTAAATGCAACAATTTTCAAAAAAAATTCTTTAAGTCGTCTAAGCAATTAATTAAATACTAATTTCACCTTTACGAAAGATCAAAACACATGAAAATTAATTTTCATTCAGAATAATACTCCTTAATGGTTTTTTTTCCTAGATAATCTTAACCGTGTATACAATTAACGGGTTAATTAATAAGTCAGGCGTAATCTACTATCTTCCCTGTAAAAGAAAAAATCATAGACCACTACAGGCGTTCAACTTTACAGAGACAGCTAAATCTCATTCAAACTAAAATTTCCCAATAGTTTCTTTGACTAGGTAATCTTGAACCTGTATACCATCAATGGGTTAACTAATAACTCAATAGTGACCTACAATTTTTCCCCAAAAAAGAATCATAGACTTCCCTTCGGTCACTATAGGGGTTCAACTCTGTAAACGAGTGGAAATTGTGAATTTCAGCGAGACGGCGGAATCAAACGTGTGGGCACAATGAAAGCATTCTGACGAAACGCGTTTCCCCGCTTGGCTGATCACGGGGCTCGTAAAATGCACAACGAAAATACTCTTGACTTCACATAGAAATAATTCGTTCTTTGCATTTCTTAAATGTGTATGATTTTCAGAATTTATCCTGGTAATTTCACTTAAAAATCCGTAAAGCATGGCAGCCGATTTTATCCGTGTACTTTGAGCTTCTCAAAATCACTCATTTATTGACAATTGTTTACTGGAATTTTTGGGGACAATTATTGTAACAGAATTTATTTCAATGAATTAGTTTATTCCACTTTCCTCTAATTACAGAAATGTTGTTCCATTGCAAGGCTCTGAAGAGAATTATCTCGATGAATAATCTTCTAAAGAAAAGTACACATTGCTGATACAATAACATTATTAGAGATTGTTTAAAATGATTTGCATCGAAAACAATGCGATATCAAAGTCATTAAAAAATCACTGATTCCATGGAATATTTAAAATTGTATTACCAAATGTATTGGACGGACAAAGAAAGACGAATGTAGAAAAATTATCTTCAATACAAAACCACGTACCCATGACACTACTACAGACTGTCTAAAAATGGTTTCCATCGAAAACGATGCAGTATTAAATATATTAACAAATCACGGATCCCACAAAATATATTTAAAATTGTATACAAAATGTATTGCAAGGACCAAGAAAGAGAAATCTTAAAAACGAATGTCCAAAACAAAACCACGAACCATGACACCACTACAGACTGTCTAAAAATGATTTCCATCGAAAACAATTCAGTATCGAGTACGTTAACAAATTTCAAACTGCACGGCATCGTCAGAAAAATAGTCGTGGCGTATATAAAAATGTGTAAAAACTTACGTTCCCTCGGGGCGAGAAGACGGTAAACAAAATCGCGGAAAAGCCGTTCAGCAAGACGAGCCGTCGTAAAAGCTGCGGCACCGGGGCTCGACGGAAGGCGGCCACCTCGTCTCGCCACTGGACAAACAACGGAATCCTTCGTCTACCCGACGAGTCCTTTTTCCCCATCGTTCGACCACTTCGTATCACATGTCGCACGGGAACGTCACAGACCGCCCGACGACCATCACACGCGCACCGCCAGCGAGCCTGTGGCCCAAGGATCGCGGGCTCATCGATGGATCTTCCTCAATTACGGTTACACCATGAGACACGACTGGTCCACGAGGCCTTGGCCAGCTCCCAAGTAGCTCACCGACTGGCGTCGGTTGTTTTGCACGCACGATCACCGCCACAAGTGGTTGCGTCCTGTCAGTGTTGACACCACAGGCTGCCTCGTGCAGTCGCCGTTCACCGAAACCTTCGACGACGTGACGACGGGCCAGCTGTCCAGGTGGACGTCCTTCCAACGATCACTGGAACCTGTCAACCGATCGATCCCTCGATCGTGCCGCGGAGGCCACCACCCATAGTCCTAACGAGACACCCGACCAATGTTTCCAACTTCGACAGCAGCTGGATCCTTGAACGAACTCCCGAAACGAGTTCTCCTGACGGTAGGTCGGTAGTTCGCGGTAGGATCGATTCACGCTCGAGGTAAACAGACCGTGGAAGGGAACAGGTGATGCCTGACAGGACGCGAACGAGGATCCTCGATGTTCAGCTTAGCGACGGATACACGCTCGGGTCTTCGGTGCCTGGAAGGACCTCGAGGATCCCGTGGATGGTAACTTTCGTTGTCTGACCCAGAGATGCGTTGATCCTGACAGGAAGCACTGGTTCGATCATCGATCAGGACAACAAGGTGATCCACGAGCACGGACACCAGTCTTACTCGACGTCCAAGTCGACGAGGCGACTGTTCTTCGGGCTCTGTTGTTGGACAGGCGACACTCGTCCTTCCCAGGACCTGGATACGTCGCGAGAGGCGTCGAGACACGAAAAGGACACGCACACGTTCGGCAGACAGCAGCTCCTCGGGGCTGGTTTTCTATTTGGCAGACTATCGACTGCCGTGCACTCAGTGTCGCCTCATACGAACTAACGATAGGAGCACCACGCCTGCGTTCGCGGAGACGCTGGAAAGCGTCGCGACGCCGGCCGTACGCGACGACCCGCCTTGCCAGGGCGCATGCCACTGGTCGATTCGAACGAGAACCAATCGTCTCGTGGGCGCGTATTTTGACTGCGTTCTGATCTTGGTAAACGAATCGCTCGATGGAACACGCTTTGTGGTTGTTAGTTTTGGTAATAACGAGTGATTAGGTCACTAATAGATCGGACTATCGGTATCAAGGTCAACTTATTATACGTACAACTATACCTTTGGAATTAGAGGGAGGCAAACGAATTTGTCGATCAGAATAATTCTCTGTTACTATAAATTGTCTCTTAATTGATGTGAAGGGATTGTTAACTACAGAGACTACAAAGAGTACCGATGTAATGCCTCATTGAGTCAATTTACTATAATAAATTAGAAAGAAGGCTTAGACAAAAATAAATCGGGATATGTGCTTGCCTTTCTATATGAATAAATGCATAAATGTAACTTTGTAAGTTCGTGCTTTGTAAATCTAGTGTTAATGAATCATTAATAATGATTAACAATGAGTGACATTGAAAAGTGGTTTGATGTAGTATTTGTATTACGTATATTTAATGCAACATTTTCAAGTGATCGTTACTTCTAAAACTCGTAAAGAATATGCTAAAGTGGTTGAATATTTAGTAAACAAGCGTTTGGCGCGGAATTCAAACGCCGATGGAAGAGCGCCACGTCTGACCATAGGTAGGTTATACTACTGTCGACGCGGCGAGTAATTTGAATTGGAGACTTTTTTCTCGGTTTTCACCTACAAGAACTTATTTCATCCTTTTATTTTTAGTAGACTATCGTAGACTACTTATCATCTTAGAAAATTATGGTTTTAACATTGATTATAGGTGGAATTTTCATAGAGGAGAAAATGGAACCTGGATGGCACTTCGAAGGTTCTTCTCGCAAATTGAGATTCCTAATTATAATTTACTCTTTGAAAATGGTCGTGGTGTGACTCACCAGTCTGCGTACTGCTGTCGAAAAAGGTACTAGATGTCTCTACGGTCATCGAAGCGAACGTGCCATCGGTGATTTGAGCCGAACTGTCTCTGCGTCCTCGGTATCTCTGAACCTAACAAGCACGAACAATGCGCGTAACAAATTTACCGTTGTTCGAATAAGTACACTTAAAACACTTTGTCTGATCAATAGACTGCGACAATTTACAATAAGGAATGGTTTCGTTTAAATTTAATTTCTCTACCTACGTCCATAGAAGTATAAATTTGCATAAACATACGCAGTCTGTTGGTCGATAATAATTACCATCCGCCTCATAAAATTAAATTATAATTCAAGTCGAACAAGTGAAAAGTCATTTAGTATCAGCGGAGTTACATTTCATAATTTCTTTTTTTTTTTTGTTTTAATAAAAATACGGTATTTCATTTAGCATGATCGTAAAACTAACCACTTCGTCGCTTTGAGAGCTCTGCCTTCGAAAATTTCGACATCTAATCATTTCCTCCGTGGTGCTCTGTCGTCGAAAGCCACGAGCTATGAAGATTTCCTCGGTCGTTGATTGTCTTCTTATCGGAGCGTGCTGGGTGCTTGGTGCACGCGCACAAGGACTCGGGTCCCTCGACGAGCAGGTGGAGCTATCCGGCGATCTGGAAGCCGAAGTTTACTATTAGTTTTGTGAATAATACGCTGGCGAAACCATTGAGCCCAGTTACAAATGCTTTAATCAAATTCTGACATTAGAAAATATTTGAGATACGATATAACTGGAAGAATACATTTCAGGAAGATGAATTTCTTAATTAAAATGCAATTAATTTACAGAAAGTGTTCACCTATATTGCACCCCCTCCCCCATATTAATTTGAACGTTTAATCTGTTCTTCACAAATCATCTAACTATAAAGCATTCCAGTGAGAATTGAATATTTATTGAAGTTCATTGTTTCGTAATTAAATTCCAATTAATTCCATGGTAAACTCGATCACCATGTAATTAATTTCCAGAAAGTGTTCGTCTATTTTACATCTCCCTATATCAACACACACCAACATATCGATCGATTACAGGTTTCCAAAGTGCTCCTTGCCAGTCGGTAAAATGATTTCATTTTTCTTATCGGCGGCGTAATAACCGTTATTAACTGTTAAGCTTCGTGGCGTTCTTATCAGTGAAACGATATTGTCCGCAGACACGGCAGCGCGAAAATCGATACATAGCAGATACCTCGGTGCCCGACCGGCCATCGAAGTCGACTGCCTTCTGAGCTGATGCTTTCGTGTCCTGATAGGGCTGATATCTCTCTTATCGACGGTCCTATCCGGGCTCAGATGGCTCCTGGAGTCGCGACGCCTCGGGTAAGAGGCGGAATCCGGACTCAGCGAGTCCCTGCGAGCTTTTCGACCTGCAAATGCCACAGAAAAAAATTCTATACTCAATTCTCTAAACGTATTCAACAATAATCGTCATTCGTTATTCAAATTTTAAGTCTCTCCAACACTCACGCTCTGGTAGATCGAATAATGGTACTTCGTTTATCGATTTAAATTGATATTGAATTGTAATGTTAAAGTTTTTTTTTTTTTTTTGAATAAAAAGAAAAAAGGGAAAAGGTACCTCCGTCTTCGGGATCCGGTGATAACGTCGGCTGGCTCCCGCGACGTCCTGCAGGTGGCATCGATTCGTCTATTGCCGCCGCCTGACGAGTTAATCTTGATAATTTGCTCGGCGACACTTCCTTTCCCTTGTAGTAACACTGCAATTAAACCAATGGATTGCAATAAACACGACTCGAATCCGTGTTTAAAGATATTTAACGCTTGTCTGACTATGTGCTGGGTAACACTACTTCCACATACTTTTGGTGCGACTAATAATACAATCTTTGTTATCTAGGCTTCAGAATCATACTCGATGCATACAGTCTCATGGGTAGAAGGTCTATTAAATTTTGTTTAGATCTGAATACTGCAAGTAAAGATACCTCTTAAGGGGCGACACTTTTATTTTGAATCAAAGAGTTGATCTGAAGAGATGAAGAGATTCTTGTCGCTCGAGATATTCGATACGTTCGAAACTAAATTATATTAAAAAAAAAATTACAAACTTGCTGAAGTTGTGGGTTACGAAGTTACATAATGAGTTGAAATTGTTCGAAGGCATAAAATACACTCCTAGCTAGGCCATCTAGACTCCTCTTTGAGATCTCAAAGCTATATCTCATATTCCAAAAATTGAAATTTAAAGCGTCCCCGATGTAAATTTTCTTTCAACCCTGTTTTCTCTACTTCACCACCACAATCACATTCATAACGAATGAATCGAACATTCAGATACTTTAGCTACAAGAAAGTCCTCTTTCGATTATGTTTGTGAACGGCTCACCTGAGTGGTGGAGTCTCTTCTGGTGCTGAGCAGGGGGTGGGTAGGCGTGTTAACATTCGGGGAGCCGACGGGGCTGGAGCTGCCGGAAGGCGAGGTTCCAGGAAGCGGAAGGCTGCTGCCAATCGTCGGTGAGACGGTCGGCGGTGTCACAGACGACATTATGATAGTGGGCGGCGTGATGGACGCCTCCAACGTTAGGTTCTTGCTGTCCAGGATCACCTTCGGCTCGACGGTGAGCATGGTGGACGTCGCTGTAGACGTGGAGACCGTCGCCATCGCAGTGGGCGCCGCAGTCGTCATCGTGGCCGACGATTTCGAGTCGACGACCGTGATAACGGGCGTCTTGACGTCTATGATAGACGTGGTGGTGGTGGTGGTCGTCGTCGTGGCTGTTACCGTTTTAGCGTCTGCTGTCTTCGCCTCGAGGCTGCTCGAACGATCGGTCTTCTCTATCGAGTTTCGCGTCTCCAGGTGCTCTCTGGAAAGTAAATTGACTCGTTACGAATCCCGTGACCCCTCGGAATTATATATGGGGACGTTTCGTTCGTAATAATCGCAGGAGAGGGTGAATGTGTCATGAAAATGTTTTTACAAATTATTTGTAAAGACATCCTTTTATATTAGGAGGTTGCATCGAAAGCCTCTGTTTGTTCGTGTCTTTTGAGCATTTATTTCATTAGTAAAGTATACAAAAGTATCAATCGAAATATTTGCTCTCAAAAGCTACTATTACTTTTTCCCACTTTTCTGGCAAAAGTTGAAGAGGCTTCAGGGGGTGGAACACTGTAATTGACTCGAAGGGGAGAGATATTTTCAGAAATTTTTTCTAAAGAATAGGATTAATTGATTTCGATACTTTTATTACATTTTGTTGGGTATTTGAATATTTGTGGTTGGGAAACTCCAACACAAAAATTCGTTTACCAATCATGTATTATGGAAAAGGGCGCTAAATTTGTCTTGCACACAGGCGCCTCTTACCCACATGGCGGCCCTGGTGGTCATAATTCGAGAGGGCGGCATTTCGTCTACCGGAAATTGGTCTCAGAATTCAATCTGCCTTCTGCGTGCGTTCTGGTTAAAATTACAGGGCCCTGTATGCTCGTTAGACCGCAATTATGTACCTGACAGCGTTGCTGGTCGCGCTATCGGTGCTGGAGGCGCTCGGTCTTTGATCGTTCCTGTAATATTTTGCAGCCGCTGCGCCGATGCCGCCGTCTATGGACTGCTGGGATTGTCTACGTCTGTGATGACGGCAGTTATGCTTCCTTTCACCCGGGCTGGGGGTCTGTCCAGCGACCACCGAGTCCCTCCTGGACCGCGCGCTCTCCCCAGAACCGCGACGGGAATTCCGCAACTCCGCCGAGCCTGCAAGAGCGAAATTGTCCTTCAGGAAATTTCAGAGGTGAATTAAAACGATTATTTTGTTATCCGTTTACGAGTACGTTTGTTGTGCGTGCGATATAGATATGTTCAGGCTTTTTCGATAACTGGTAAATTAAATACAGGGAACGGAAAGCAACACACATGAAATGTAATTTTGAAGAGGAGTTTCAGAAAATTCAATTTACTCTTTAAAAATGATAGATATATTAACTCTTTGCACTCGAGAGGTGACTCTCAGTCACCATTAGGTTTTACGGAGCACATCTACAATACTCAAAGTTTTTAGGTTCAATTTCTTCGAAGATCGACGTATCAATAAAATGACTGTCGGTCAGGAAACGTGACTTTATTCTCAAATCTAGATAGCTTAGAATTCATGGCAATACAATGTTAAGAAACATCTCGAGTTGCTGGCAGATACCAGAAAAAAAGACTTCGAGTGCAAAGGGTTAAGATAAAAATCGCACGAAAAATAATTTTTGTGCGAGAATGTTTTATTTTATCATAGCATACCGTCTCGTGATTTCATTTATAGCAATTATTCAATCGAAAAATCCTGAATGCATTAAAATCTTCAAATCCTACATACTAGAATATACCACCCCTGTATCTTTCGTATAAACAATCTTTTACAGGAATTTCTTATTCCATCGTTAACACTATGTCTACGTAACAGTCATCTCGACGCATTCCTATTTTCACCTGACGCCAACGGCAGCTATCTTCATCCAATTAGACGTCAAGCATCATTTGGCAAGATTAGCGCGATAAACAGCAATTTTCCAACGTACCGCGACGAGGGGTGGGCGAAATGACCGTGGGCGGTGGCTGGGGCTGCGGGGCGGCCTCCCTCTTGCTCCATAATTTGGCGATGTCGTTTCTAATCTCGCTAATGGCCGAGTCCCGTCTGGATTTCGTCGATGGCTGGCTTCTAATCCCACTGTCTACAGAGCTCTCGCGCCGCTTCCGAAATCTCTCCAGATGGCTCACGTCGGTCGTCTGTCTGGACCATGGCAACTTGGCGATGTCCGCGAGCGTTTCCCTCCGGCAGAATTTATTTCCGCGTCCGCTCTTCCCAGAACCGCCCCCGCCGCTCCACTCCCTCAAGATGTCCGTCAGTTGGGCCAAGCTGGACCTCCGACGGGTCTGGTTCGTCGGCGATGGATCCTGGGGCTCGTTGGGCGGCGAGATCTGCGTCGCGGAATCGCGTCTTCCGCTTCCTGGGGAAGGAAAACAAAATTCGGAAGAGATTCGATTTTTGTGTTTTATTCTGACGAGAGATTTAATTTCTCTCTCCTATTTTAATATCGACCCACGATTCTGTCATGATTTATTGTTTTTAACCCTCGATTGGCCCACGTAACTTTTAGGTTACATGCTAATACAGTCAGTCCCATAAATATTTAGCCCATAAAGCGTTTAAATCCACGTGTGAAAAGCACTTCGCGTATCCCAAAAAGAAAGCTATGTAAATATCAGTTCATAGCTATATTTTCGTCTTCTATATTTAAGGAAATATATGTAAGAATTTTTACCGAGTCGTTGCTTCAAGGTGGACTCTTCCACCTGCTCCCGCACGAGATCGTCCCATCCGTTTCCTCCCTGCCATATCAGCCCCACCTGATGACTCAGGATCGGTAAGTTGCACACGAAGCAGATCGCTGTCATGGTCCTGAAACGGAAACGCTCGGTCTCGGTTTAAACGGGCAAGAGTGCTATGCGAGCCGCCTGGTCCCGTGTCGGACGACGGTGAAAGTGTAACTCGAGGAGAAAAGATCGGGTGCACGTTTCCAACGACAGAGTTACAGGTGAAACCAGGCCATGCCGATATACCAGCGCTTAGAAAGGTGACAGCGAAGTCGTGGCTTCTTCAAACTACCCTCTACCCAGTGTTGGACGTCATTCGAACAACGAATAACGAATAGAATTTTATTCGTCACTCATTTGTTCGTTAGTCGTTCGCCAATCATTTATTCTTTATTCGTTGCGCTATTAAAATTACTGACGAACCACTGACAGAAGTCCTAGTTTTATTTATCGATTCATTCGAATGATTACTCGAATAAGAATTTATCCGAACAGTCCCCGACTCTGTGCATCGATACACTACTGAAATATATTCGCGAATAACGAATAACTTGAGAACGTACAAACAAAAGATGAATAAATCATTTCATTCGTTCTTTGGACTACGAGATCCTAGTTTTATTTATCGATTCATTCGAATGATTACTCGAATATGAATTTATCCGAACAGTCCCCGACTCTGTGCACCGGTACACTACTGAAATATACTCGCGAATAACGAATAACTTGAGAACGTACAAACAAATGATTACGAATAACTAATTTTATTCGTTATTCGAAATAACTTCTGCCCAACACTGCCTCTTCACTACTGAGAACTTTTCCATGCTCTCGCGCGAGTTGCAAATTGCGCTCTCAAAGGGGGGTTAGAGGGGGGATAAAATAAGATCAAGCAAGATCGTGTACGGTTTCAACCAAACTACGCTAACGACTCTACTATAATTTCGCACGCATTTATGTTTCCATACAGGGGCGTTGATGCTAGCCAGAGACGCTCCGTTGGATCGATCTCCAGCAAGAAGTTAACGAGAAAACTTCACGTGATACGAGCCTCGCGCGAATGCCCGTCTTTTCAGAGTATTTGCTTACGCGAATCCCTGTCAAGTCGAAGATTTCTTGTTCGCAAATACGCGACAGGTTTCTTTCTTGCGACCGTAGGAGCGAAATTAATCGTTTACTTTCTAGAGAAATTCCCTTGTCGTCGCGAGACGTCTCTTTGCGGAACATCTTTGAACGTCATCAATTCCCCTTGCTGTGTTCGCTGAAATTATTACTCTACGACCTACGACGTAAATAACAAAGTAAATGAGGAACCAGCGATGCAAGCTTGATTTTAATTATTTGCTCAGTCGAACCGTTCGATCGATGATACGGATCCTCGATAGAAATGTCGATCGTGAATTGCGTGCGATAATAAATTGACGAATGCGTGAGATGCATGAATTTATCTACGTTCATTTCACATTTGTATTAGCTAGACTCGAAAGTAAGATTTAATAAATTTCTATTTTTAAGCAATTATGTAATCGCCCTTGTTATCAACAGCCTTGCAAACAGTTTGCAAATTTTCAATACCAGATCGATAGAAACCAATGAGCTGGTGAGTGATAAACAGGCATTTAAAATTGAAAAAACAACACTATTTTCCAGTCTACCTGATGCTAAGGTTTTCCTCAAATATTTTTCTGAAACCAAAGCACTAATTCACTAATTACGCGCGTTTAGACTCTGGCTTAGAATTAAATTCAAATTTAAAAACTCCCTTTGCAGTCATATTGCTAAATTTAAATTTAGAAAACTCCATTAGGGAGCTACTTGGTGAATATAAATTTAAATTTACTTGTTACGACTGTAGGATGGTTCAAAGCAGTGTTGTTGAAATATAAATTAACATCGTTTACTTTGAGTTTCTCAGATATTTCAAGTCTTTCAAGCTTTCTAATCTACTCGACTAACTCAATATTTAAACAAGTGACTTTTCAACCATTTTTATGTTTCTCAACTATCCCAATCAAATTCAACATAAACCTAAAAAGGATCCTAATCATGATTCAGTTCATTCAACTAAATAAATCAATTAAACCAAGCTTGAAATCCTGGCCGATAAATCGCCTGTTGTTTTCAAAACAAGCAAATCTCGTTGCTGATTAACTAACAATGTAAGCTCGAAGCAGAAACTCGAAGGAGGATTATGTTATCGCGTCGATCATTAATTCATACAGCGATAACGCGTCTCTCCCCCTCTCGTGTTTCCGAAAAGATGGGATTCACGGTACGCCCACCGTGCGTGGGTGTCGGCATGACGTCTCGTGATGGAACGATCGTTAAATGGAGCAACTCCGATCAACGTATGCGCTAAGTATGCACTAAAGACAGCGACGCAGGTGTGGTTACAGAGTCGACCGAAACGTGTTCGAGTTAGCGCCGATCAGCGTCATTCCAAAAAGCGTGGATGCAGTGAAACAGCCCCGAGACGTATCGTGTATTACACGATGTACTTTACTTATGTGTTCGTGCAATTGTGCAGATGTGGCGCGGACTGGATCAAGGTGACTGCACGTACAGAAATAAATCTTCGATGTGGATCCTTCTCCATGCCGAGGCTTTCGCGAAAAAAAAGAAACTAGCGCAGAAGATCAAATAAAGTTTTGTAGTATTCCTTCACTATTTCGAAAAGAAAGCTCTGTGAATTTATTTAACGTGCTCTTTTTAACGTGTGTGTTAATTTATGTAACGCACGTCAGTAATTAAATAATGCAATTATATTGTAATCATTTCGATATTTGTTTATGTTACCGGATTCAGCATCGAATGGGTCTTTAATTAAATTAATTAAGATTTACATAAACTTTCCGTTCTACTTTTTAATTTTCCTTTGTACCGTGTCATTACAATGTCCTGGGAAGTTTCTGTTCGGTTCGCTGTTTAATTAACGGCTTGCAGCGAACAAAGTATAACTTGATGGTTACTCGATAATCTATCATTCTCGAAAATAATTAATGGTCGCTTTTAGTATAAAGAAAAATGTAGTTGCATTCACAAAATGTAACCTTCCAAAGACAGTCCTTCTATCGCTTTCTTTTCTCTTGAATTGTACCATAATTGTTTGCTGTTTTTATCATATAAATACGTTTATTAATCATAACGAGCAAGCAATAAACGTTTTCGATCCTTCAGGTTCAGGTCCGTTGAATATTTCACAAAAGGTAGTAAATAAAAGTATAAATAGAAGAGGGTGAAAAACATTAAAATTGATATAATATTTTTGTGCAGAAATAAATTTTATTGTTTCGATCTAAAATAACAAATGAAAGAGGTCGAAATTATTGTAATATTTTCATTCAAAATTAAATTTATTGTGCGGACGTACAACGGCCCAGACCTAAAATGGCAATAAGTATGGTACAACTCAAAGGTAAACAAAAAAAGTGAAACTCTTTGTAAAAAATACATCCGTTCCACAATTTTCACATATTTCTGCATGCTCATAGTCTATCTTTTTACAGTCCACACCTCAACCTGCACAGTTGCTAGAGAGCAAGAAAGAGGGAAAGATAGCAATAGAGCCGCATGTCTGTCCTCGTATTCAGCGTATAACAAAACTCTCTTTGTATAACTGATTTGACGTTTCGACCTGTCATGTCGAAGTCTGGGGCTCTGCAACGACATCGCATGGCAAGGGCCTGGCCGACCTGCAAAAGATACATACAGACAAAACTCTCTTTTTTTCTGTCGTAGTTTCGGAGTGCTGCCGTTTGGTCAATGGTTGGGAGTTTCCCAATTTCTTCCATATAGTTCGAATGATGACTAAGATCGTACAGAACTGTAAGCACGTAGAATGTTGCTGTGTAAAGTGTTACTTGCTTTCGGAAAGAAAATAATTTGTTCCTTAAAAATAATAAGTGTGCACGTATTCGTAATTGATCTTTTGTTAGAAATTTCTTGAAGCAATTGATGATGTTGAGCTTTTATATACATGATAGAAATATAATGTGTAAAATACATGATTTGTTATTCGATATATAGTATAGAAATATTATGGCTGAAACATCGAAGAATTAATATTAATCTTCAATTGCACGTTGCAGTTTATTTTCCCTCCCAAAAACTGAATTTATTTCTCAGTTGGAATATTAAATAAATTCACGAACGTATACATGATAATGAAACAATACCTTTTCAGAAAATTAATTCGAATTCACCTAAAAGAGGGTTAACACGAATTAGTAAATAATAATAGCAATATACAATTTCCTAGTACATTCAAACATGAAATTCTATTTGGAACAACGCGAACAACATCACTGCTTCGCGGAATCAAAATTTATTGCAAACGATTTCGAAAACAGTCTTCAAACATCACGCGAGTAATTCGATGCGAACGATTTCCATGTTGCATTATCAGGTTACGGTAATATTGGCTATTGTTTGCGGATCATTTCGCGTTTGAATATATTACGGTATGTTCGATTGCGTGTTTAGACGAGTATCGAGCTATTGATAAAGCAAACATTAATTATAATAACGATACATCGTTAATGCTGCGCGCGATTAAACATTAATGATGTAAACACGCGAAATTGTGACAAGGTGCCTAGTGCGCTTATGGATTACGCCCGTGGCGTCTAGCGTAATCTTTGCGAAATTGATTTGACGTGGATCACGATGCAAAGTTATGCGAAACTGGATCGCTGAAAAAGCCGATTCTTTTCCAATTTTCCCCTTAAAGTTTATCGATGATGGTTCTCTCCAAGCTGAGAAATTTATTTATTTATATGTATATCTACTTTTACAAAAATTCTCTCATTTTATTTATCAATCAAACATCTTTTGGCCCTTTGCTTTCTCAATTTTCCTTTGAGACATTATCCATGATGGTCTTCTGAAATCTGAGAAATCTATTTATTCATACGTGTATCTCCCTTTAAAAAATGTTCTCATTTCAATTTATCCATCAGAAATCTTTCACCCCACCCAAGTAGAAATGACTCCGCCTCAGTAACTATAACCCGTACAGAAATCAAAATCGTTGTTACACAAGGAGCTCCAAGACAAAGTTCCGAAGGGTACTTTATTTCCCTGCCATTATTACGTTACTGATTCCGCGGAATATGAAATTATCCCAACGAAAAGCGCTTCAAGGAAAAAACACCGTCAGTCGGTGTATTTTAAATCCCTTCGTATGCAAATTCCAACGACCACGCCGACTAAGGGGAAAAGGATACGGGGTGGGGTAGCGTGCAAAGCCGCCAGATGGGGATAATTTGATAATTGATCCCACGGAACCTGGATGACTCGACTCACGGGAACCAGACAGTTGCGGTGGCTGCTCTGGGAAACTTTACAAACTGGCGGAATACATTTACAAAATTAAACGCCACCCGGAAACTTTGCGTTTAGAAAGTTTAATCCGCGCCAGCGGGTGAGGGGACGAAAATTCGCTTTATGAAAATTTTGATTGTCCTTCTCTGGTTTATTCGAACAGTCGAAACCGAGGGACGCTTTTCGACGACCGAGGGAAACTTTTTTCACCCCTGCTACGGTAGTGCGACTTTAAGGGAAAATATTCTGGGCGAGCTTCCGTCGTGGATGAAAACAATCGGAGGTCGCGTGGAAACTTTCCCGCGTGAATATTTTATGGTTTACGACGGGTTGTATACAGATCGAGAATGCTCAAATCGCTCGTTTACGTTTAACGATTGGAACATGCTGGTTCGGATCAATGGACCTCTCAGAAGTCCAGTAAACGTGAACTAAATAGATGTTATAAACATTGTTTGAATACTATCCAGTCGATATGGTTAAATTTATAAAAATAATAAACAGCAATGTTCGCAATTTGTCGTGTCTGACTCGGTCGTCTTATTCTACTTCCCTGGCACGATCCTACTATTCTACTCGTCTGGCACACTTTATCCCATGCCACTTGTCGGACACGATCGTCTTGTTCCGCTTGGCTCACTCCCCCACGGATACTTCCCTGTCTGACTAGGTATTCCATACTCTACTTGGCACATTCCACACGTCCTATTCTGGTTGCCTGGTACACTTCGTTCCATTCGACTTGTCTGTCACGCTCGTCCTCCATCCTTTCTGATTTCACACGTTCTGTTACACTGGTCTGATACTTTTTCTCTCATTCGAATTGTCTGACAGGATCATCCAATACTACTTTTCCTACACCACTTCATATATTATTCGTGTCTGACTATATCTGACATATCCAACTTGTTATTCCACGTGTTCTGTTCTATAAACCTGGCGCTTTCTCTCCCATATTTAACTTGTCTGACACGATCGTCCAATTCTACCTGTCTTACACCACTTCGTATACTCTCCGTGTCTGACTAAATCTGACATATTCTACTTGTGATTCCACGTGTTCTGTTCTATAAACCTGACGCTTTTTGTTTCATATTTAACTTGTCTGACACGATTCACCAATTCCATTTAGTTCACACCCTTAGAGGCTGTAGCTATGCTTTGTAATCAATCGCAGTTACAGTACGGGCGAACCCGAGGTACCCGAGCATCTTGTAGGCCTGATAGGCCTTGAACAGAGTAATCCAAATATAACACGTAAAAGAGAAAAAATATAGGTTAATATGTCCCGAAAATAATAGTAACAAAGTCTCACCAAGTCACAAATATCATAGAAAAAGGTGAAATAGACATGTTCCGAACACTGTTAAAAAGTAAACCAAGAAGCAAAAAGCCTACTTAAATCACGTTTTCAGACGTACTCCACGTATCTGACTAGGTGTGCCATATTTTAATTTATCTACACTCTATCTATCCTCTTCCACTTCTCTTATTTTACAGGCCTGACACTTTTCATCCCATTCTACTTGCCCTATTTCGCCCGTCACATTCTACTAGCCTCGCTTAGCTAGACATACTACCCGTACATGACTAAGTATGAACCACTCTACTTGCCAGATTCAACGTGTCCCTATTCTCCTCGCCTGGCACACTTCGTCCCATTCGTCTTGTCTGACAAAATTGTCCCATTCTACTCGCTCCATCGAACACACTCCCCGTGTCTGACTACGTACGCTACATTCTACTTATCTGATTCCACGCGTCCCCTTTTACTCGCTTCACACTTCCAAGCGCCATAGGTGTGTTCTACATCACTCCATTTTAAAGTGAACGTATAAACCCTCGTTCTATTCGCATTAATATTTCATAAATTCCGCCCGAAACCCGCGCCTCTCGCCGCTTGACGCGTAACGTATTTTTAACGTCGTCGGTGTACTTTGAAACGCCTCTCACTCATCGTCGCGTACGAATAAAGGACCGTCTTTCGTATTTGTCTAGCCTCGCTATTTTTAACCGCGGCTGGAGGACCTGAGTGATTCATGGGCTCCGCAACTCAAACGCGTCTTATCTACATGTTATTTGATCCGCTCGTCTCTCAGACACGTTCGAATTATTCCACTGAAGAAATCTCCGCGATCGCAGTCGACATTCTTATTTTTCCGTGGCTGTAATTCGAACGGGGAAGTATTACCTGACTCGCTATAAACGAAATCAATCGCAGCCATCATGTTTCAGCTCGTGAAACTTATTCCGTATAC